AATAAAACTTCCCCAGGTTTTTTTCTCCCTGGAGTTTGAATACTAATACAGAAAATCACTTGATCTAGTGTTACAGATCTCTAAAATACAAATAACATCCCCCTATTCCTCTGTAAAAAAGGTGATTGGTTTTAAGCCCTCGAAGACCCTTATTTATTGAGGCTACCTACGCACATAATATTTGGCATTGTATTGTATTATTATTTTTATTTTTGGCGTTGGGTTTTCTGTTTGTTTTTTTTGTTTTTTGTTTTTTTTTCCAGACTTCAGTTGGCCATCTTTCTAACTAGGCCATGCAGACAGGTCCAACATGAGAGTGCCAGTGAATGGCACAGAGTACTGCCCACTCAGATCAGTCAGCTAGGGCAGGATAGTGGGTGTTGTGGCCCTCAGGCAACACAGCACTTGACAGCAGTTGACATGAGCTCAGACCTTGGTTGAATATAGACTTGGTGGACACGTATAGACAACTGTATACATGGTGACACTCCTGGGACGTAATGTGCTCTCGAAGCAATATGTTGCGACACTGGAACAAAGCTTTGTAAAATGACAGAGCCATCACAAGGCTTGCCCATGGAGCTGTTCACAGATGCACACACAGAGAAAACAGAGAGTGAGCGAAAGACAGAGACCAGAGCAACCAAATAAATATGTTAAGTTGTTGCTAATTGGAATAACAAAATTTCATATTATATATTCATGGAGTATGCGTTCCTCCTGGAGCATAGCCATCCAGCAGATGGCCAGAAATGCAAAGATCAGTTTTTACTCACTGCCCTTATGCTTTGTACTCACTTTTTTCAAGTGTTGGTGTGAGATAATTTGATAAATCACTGAGATAATTTTCACTCTCTCTTCTGTTGACAAACGCAGTCCCTCAGCATAAATGTTCTCAACACAAAAAATATAATTTTCTTCTTCTTCTAGGCTACATCCATTGTTCTGTGGGAGCCTGGTTCACTGAGACTCTTCAGTGAAGGAATAAATTTGGAATCCTGCAATTTTGTGTGATAGGAGCCCATGCGAGTCCCCGTGATTACATTCACATGTAAATCTTACATAAAGTTCAGGAGAGGTAAAGTATTGATATGCGAGTCTGCTATTGCCAGAAAGTTATTTAGAGTTAAGATAAGGTGTGGTGTGTACATTTGTAAGTTGTTGGAGGTGAGGTTTTGGGTTTTTTTGAGGGCAGAAATGGTCTCACATAAGAGGTTTAGGGTAGCCTGAATTCCCAAGATCCACGCCCAGTGATCAGTCAGCTTCCAGGTTTTAAATGGAAGCGACTGGTCAGGAGGCTTCATTAGTAGCCCCTGAGCCACTGCAGCAACAAGAGTCATTAA